ATTCACAGAATCATAGAACAGGATCATAGAATCATTAAGGTTGGAAAAGACCTCTGAGATCATCAGCTGTCAACCCAACACTACCATGACCACTAAACCACATCCCAGAGTGAATTTGCCCAACCCAGGGCAGTGACTTTCTGGCTGAGCCTCCTTTCCCCTCACTCCATTGATGATTACAGCCCTTGCTCCCTTATGGCTCTGTGCTTCAGCACAATGTCCTGCAGAGGAGTTTGGTGATGGAAAAGAGGGAACTAGGAAATCAAAGGGTGGATAAGGAAGTGTAGAAACACTCCTCTTCCACAGCACCACTTTACCTTGCTTGAAACACTCACCTTCACCTTGTTCTTCCAGCATCTTCACAGAGCAGAAGCCAAAGCATTTTGGGAACTGTGGAGTGAGTCAATCCTGCACAGCCAGGCAGGGGACTGGGGGGTCCCACAGAGCTGAATTTCACCCAGGAGTGAAGTAGGTCTCAAAGCTGTGGCCAAGTGGAGAGAGTGTCACCATTTCCATTGTACTGAGGAGAAGACTGAGGTGCTGCCTCACAACTGGACTCCTAAACCCTCATGTTCTGCATGGCTCATGGGGTTAGTAAAGGTTTTTGGGTTCAGCTGTTAAGTCACTACTAACAATGTCAAGTACAGCACCAAGGGGGAGGAAGAATACCCTCTAAAACTCCTCAAATGAAACAGACTCCTTCATACCACAGATTTATGAACTGAATTTGAACTGATAAGGGTATGACCTCTTCTAGGAAGGGGCACACACTCCTAACCCAGAGCTGGGGTCTTTACAAGCACTACCAGTAAAGACAATAGATGAAGAGTGATTTATTAGTCACCAACAAGTTTCTCAGCATCCTTCTAAGCTGCAGGAGGTGGGTATCATCCACCACCACCACCAGGAACATCCAGCTCTGCAGAGCTCGAGTGCTGCACAGCTAAGTGCTGACAGCCAGAAGTCACCAGAGAAACAGCAATCCACAGCTGAATTTCCATAAACTATGTTCCCATTTAGCTCCAAGCCCAGTACAGCATTTCACTGTGGGTGGGCTATAGGCTGGACAGTCCCAGCAGTCAGGCCACAGCTGCCTACGGGAGCTGCCCTGCCAAAATTTGCACCAGTCCCCTTTGCAAAGGCAGGGGTGGAAGCTGAGGAAAATGTCTGTTTATGTCTTACTGCTGGGATGTGTGTGGAAGGGGGGGAAAGCAAGAAAAGCCAGGCAGCTCAGAGAAAAGGGTCAGCAATGTCTCCCTGATTCAGGACACTGATGAAAAATGGGGGTTCCTGGCAGGTCACTGCTCACGGGTTCTCCAGCTCTGCCACCAGCCTCTCCCTTCTGGCTAAAGCATAAGAGCTGCACCTCAGGGTAGATCACTACAACCACCTCCTCCAGCCCACTGCTTGCATTTGCAAACAAGCACCTTTGTGATCTCTCTCTCACTGCTCTAAAAACTCAGAGGGAACCCAATAAAAACACCTTGAAAACCAACTCCTTCTCCCTTGGAGAATCACTTGTGTGGACCCTCTGGAAGAGCTGAGTTGTGCTGTCACTGCTGTGTTTCCACTGGTGGGATGACATTGTCTCCTCAATAGCCTCCCTCTATCCTGATCTACTACCAAAGTTCATGTTTAAGGTAGATCTACCAAGGTGGTGACTATCTTTTGGTCTGCTGCTTGTCTTGCACCTCACACAGTGGTGTTCTATTCCATCAGATGCAAGTAATGTGTTTTAATATTTTCTTTCCTTATCAAATTCAGATTTACACCAAAGTCAGTATTGAAGATCTCAGTGGTTCACACCTTTCAGAGATTCTGTAAGCCACTGATTCCTGGACAATAATTCCTAACTTATCAGAGATTTGTCATTCAGAATTTAGGGCAATTTGATGGTTGCAGAACATACCCTTCTGGAGTCTCCCAGGCTATGAAGTGGGCAGCCTTCCCCTGAGACTCCATGACCTGCCAAGTGAAAAAACAGTCAGAAAGGACAACAGATCTAGTCCATGGCCCAAAGCTCCAACTAAAGCCCCAGCTGCACGCCAAGTTCCCTCCAAGACTTATCACTGACCTTGCCTGCAGCTTCTCCTGTCTTTAGAATGGGAATTAGGAAGCTTTCCACCTCCCTTAATCCCATCTGTTTAGTTTGTAAATTCTCCAGGGCAGAGACTGGTTTTTATTTGTGTGTACAGCACCACATACAGCAAGGTCCTGATCTTGGCTACGGCTCCTAGGCCTGAGTGAAGCACAAAGAGATGACGGTATCTTGATCAAACATGAGGAACTCAGATAAACAACAGAAAAGCAGCTTGATATTTTTTTTTCCTGCAGCCTCTGCTTTTCCGTGACTTGTTTATTCATCTCAAAGCCTCAGCGACATCTAATCAAGCTGTTAAGAGTCAGATTTGTGGCCAGTCAAGCACTTAGGGAGTTGTTAAATGTTCAAACCCAGTTCTATTCAGCAAACAGCTGCTCTTTTTTTTTTTCCCCCCCCTTTTCTCCTAGATAGTGGTGTGGTTTTATTCACCACATACTCACCATTTTCCTACTAGAATGGCATTAAGGTGATAGAGCAACTCCTCCACTAAAAGGTCTCATTACATTTTGGGTAGGGACACCTGACTTTTAGGCCTATCTTCTTTGCACTTCTTGGTACTGATCCAAATCACACTACAGTTAGATGAAGCAATGATTTCAGCAGGCTGAAGAAAGAAGGAAAACTGTGATAGTTTCCAGATGAGTGTATTATACTAAATTTAACGTGCCTTTTGGTACTTAGAATTTCCACTTTTCCCCCTTCCATTTATGTAATTAGAAATCTAGCAGCAGGAAACCATTCCTAGCCCAGCCTCAGTTGGGAGCAGCATGGTCTCATTCCCACTGAGGGGAACAGGAGCCTTGTCCTCACAAGGAGACATTTTGCACAGCTTACATGGACAGGTTCAAACCCAGGCTTTGAATAATACAACTTTAATTCAACCAAAACAAATACAGGCCCATTATGTGCTAGTTCTGTATGCACATACATATCTCAACACAAACAACAAGAAGCAAGGCAGCTGTGAATCACAAAAAAAGAAATAAAAATGAAGCCCTTATTCCATTTAAAGAGCGATGACAAAGTTTAAATTCCAGCTTTTAAAACTGTGCAGTCTTTCCACACTCACTCTAGTGGAGTTCACATTAAAGAGCAAGAACATTGACTCTGATTATTCTCATTCTAGCAGTAAAAGACACGTTGTGAATTGCTATCTACAGTGATACCCTCTGAGCTCCAGGGCCAGGAGAGCCACTTGAACATGGGTCACAGTAGATGATATTAAGAATTAACCCCAGAAAGTTGTAGTTGAACTGAAGCAGAGCACACCAGGGCATTAATTAAAAATGGAATCTGTTGTCATGGCCCAAATGACCTGGCATTAAAGTTTTTTCTACATGTTGGCAGTTGTTACATTCATCACCTTTAGTTCTCCTGCTTCACACCCAGGGTGATGCTCCTCTCTCCAGCTGAGCCCACTGGCTCACCAGGCTGCCAGCACCACAGCACACACACAGACCTCCACAAAAAACCACTTTCCAAACCACAGAGGAGCTCTGGCTCCAAAGTACACGGTTCAAATTAAAAACTGGGGCCAGATAAAACGATTCAATTTGGGGAAGGAAGAAAGAAAGAAAGAAAGAGATCCTGTTTCCAATAAGCTGTTTTAACCTGACTGACGAATGCAGTCCGGCAAGGGAGGAGGTGGAAAAACAAGGACATGCTCAAGCAATGGTCCTGGATGGCATCGTGCTCTGACAGCCTTTAATGCTGCCCTGGCATTCAAGCTGCTTTATTTCACAAGTCCATTGCTCTAGGCGAGCTCTGCAGCTTCTGTTGACTCTGGGCACAGCTCAACACGTTTCTTCAGCGTGCAAGATCCACACACAAGTGCCCAGGGGGCCGTGGGGGTTCAGGACTGCTGCAGCACCCCCACCAAACCTCAGTCCCACTGCTCAGTAAGATAAGGAGTTTCTCAAGCTGTCTGAACTCGGGAGGCAGCCTCGCAGCCCATCCCCTTCCCTTTTCTTGGCATGGTTTAAAAAACAAATATTGTGCAACTTGTTTTCCATTGTGTTTTCCTTTCTGGAGAGGAATTTTCTTGTCACTCTTCCATTTGCCAGCGCTCACCATGCAGCAGAACAAGCTTTCAATAAAGGGCAGTTCTATGTTGATCTAGACTATTCCCTTTCTATCTCAGGAGACACACATTTACATCTTGTGCTACATGGACACTATGGAGCAAGCACGAGACAAAGAAAAGAGCTAGGAAATGGTGCTGAGCAAAGCAGCAGTAAAGACACCATCTCAGGTCAGGAAAAAAGCAGTAGACAACATGCCAACAAGCAGTTACAAGGACTGGGGTAAATGTAAAGTAGAGGGGAGTACTTGGACCAGTGACTTGCCAAGGTCATACAGAGCTTTAAAGAATGGTGACTCATTCCCAGGTCACCAATTTTTTTCACCAGAAGAGGGGTGAAAAAACCATCAACAGAAAAGGTAAGCTCAGAGCCAGATGGCACGTGCAGTTGTTGAGTTCACCCCCTACACTGAGGAACTGTCAAACCTGGGTCACATCTCAGAGCTACAAGAGGCAGCACCAGCTTGTGGCATCACTCACACGGTTAGGATCTGCCCTCCTGGATCCTGCCTCTTTGGAGAGGACAAAATTCCCATTTTAAAGGGCAACTGTACAAACAGAAGTATTTCTATTGCTCTCCAAACACCGGCCCAAGCAGCAGGGGTCTAGTGGGTGGTTTATGAGGTGGGAAGGCTTCTCTGGACTGCAGGTTAGGTGGGGGTTGCCTTTCCAGGGTGCAGAGGAGCACACGACGGCTGTCCTTTCTGAAGAGGTCTCACAGTGGCTTTACCCAGGTGGTCACAGCTGCCTGGTACTCAAAATGAAGTCCTCTCCTTCCATTCTCTCTCGCACTCACATACAAAGTCAACACACGAGAGAAGGCCATTTTTCTTTTATTTATTTCCCAGAAGAGCTCTTCCTTGCACTTTCCAGACATGATACAAAACAAGCAACAGAACTTTGTTTCATGTACAGAAACAGTTTGTTGGAGTATAAAGAGTTACTGGTGATCGTTACTGAAGAATGTTGGCTTATTCCAGGGGCACTTCAGTATTCCTGAGGAATAGTCATTGATTTCTCCTTCCTTCCCACTGGGATAGTCTCAGTTATTAGTCACTGTTCCTGTAAAGCAAGAAGGCTGACATTATTAAAAAGCCATTGGGTTCCTTAGATGGAAGGTGCTGCACGATGTAAAGCAAGCCACTTAGCTCTGCAACGTTTCCAGAAGGCAGAATAATGTTTTCATCCTTTGCTAGGCTGAGACACTGAGCATGGAGAAGTTAAGCAGCTGTTTTCATACCAGAAGCATGCCATATTTCCTGATGAAATCCTCTATTCTGATAAAATGGGTACTTCAGAAACACCCAACGTTATTGTTCATGTTATCTACTCATAGATCAAATAGCAATCAGACAGAGATCAAAGTCACAAAGGGCAGGAGGAAAGGGCAGTTGCCAGATTTCTTGTATTCCTGCACCTCAAAACAACCCACACTGCTATCAAAGTACAGGGGTGTGGGCTTTGGGGTGATAAATAATACAGGCTAAGTAACCTGAAAAACAGGATACTTCCCATTTTGTAAGGAAACCTAGGCCATGTCATTCTCAGCCACACAGTATTAAGCCTCAAAAAAATGGCTAGATGTTGATGTTAAACCCAGCTGAAGTCACAGTGACAGCCAGCTGATCAAACTACTTAAAAAGCCCTCAGAATCTTAGAGACCACAGCTGAGAACTTCCCTGTGTTCTCAGTAGTCTCTTGGCCCAGATGAACAGCTCCTGCATTGATGTTAGGGTTTCATGATCAAATTACTAACCCAAAGGATGGGCAAGTGATGATCCATCACCCAAAGTGATGATCCAAGTTACAGTTAGAACAGCTGCAAAGTCTCTCTGTAATCTCCTCATTATTTGGTATCAGGAAGGTTCCTCTTTCCTCTCTCATTCTCACTTAGGATTCAGAATTAAGAACTTGATCCTGAAGATTCAAGAATTCAGACTGGACAAAGCCCTGAGGAACCTGGTCTGACCTCACAGCTGACCCTGGGTTGAGGTCAGACTAGATGACCTCTTTGAGGTCCTTTCCAGCTTGAGTTATCTTGTGATCCCATGAACTTGACAGGGTCAGAAAACTAGAAATCAGTTCATTCCAGTTAATCCATGTAACATTTCTCTCTCTGAACGAAGCTGATTTTCCTGCAGAACCTCCCATTTTGACAAATTAGCATTTGAAGCTCTGCAAATGAAGTCCTATAGTAGTTACAACAGTACTTTCTAGGGAAAAAACAGATGAGTGATAATGCAACACAGTATTTTCCATGTTCCTAACCCACAGAAATGAAATAATTCTTTTGTAATAACCGAGGCCATTATCCATGACACAACATTTTGGAGAGATGAATGACATGAACCCTGAGGTGGCTTCACTCCCACCTTCCCCCTCTCAGCACACTCAGCCTCTTTGTGCCAGAGCAAGCTAGCAGAGCCAGGGCTCTGGGAACCATCTGTCCAGCCCCGTGCCATGCAGGCAGCTGCACCTCTTCTGTGAAGTGTCCTTTCAATCACCTCATGCTTCAAAGGACCACCCCTGCCCCAGAGCACAGATTAGTCCTTAATCCAAATAAAATCCTTTACCAGGCTGACCTGAGAGGCCATTTTCTGTTGCTCACCAGCACGAGCACCAAGCATCCTTGGAAACACACCTCTTTCTCAGAACATGTGAGCAGGGTGTTTACCAGTCACATGACATGTCATCCCAGTTTCTTTTTGGAGGCATAAATCAGAGGAATCCCCTCAGGATGGTGTGGAAAGCTGACATGTTTGGGTGTCAACAAATGGGGCCAGAAGGGTCGTACACAGACTTTTGATGCTGGGTTGTAGCTGGCAATGTTGTATCAGCTGCATCTAAGTCACAGTTTCTCTGTCTTGCTATCCAAACCATCATATTCTGAAGAATGTGTTCAGGAATCTTATTGTTGCCCTTTCTCTACAGCTGAGGAAGGTATCTGTGAACAGATATATCTGGTAGGGCTGCTGAAGGGTGGCAAAACCTCATCTGCCAGTAAACCTAAGCAGGACTGGACTCAACTTACAGCTCTACATGCACCAGGAAAAAGCCTAAAACCACCCTCAGGCCTCCACCAGGCAGATGAGTGCTACAGTGACATTCTTTTGGCAGTATATGATTTTGTGGATACAAACTGTGCACACCTCCTCTTTTATTTTTTTTGTTTTTCCAGATGCCACAATGATAAATTACTGTAGGAACAGCCCAAATTTTTGCATGTGAAGAAATAAAGAAAATATGAATGGAGTTAGTTTGTGGACTTGGTGCACTGGAGGCAGTTTGTAGGCACACAGATGGTTCCTGCTAATTAATCTGTTTTTAAATACTTTATCTCAGCATGGTCAGAGATAATACAGAACTCATTTAAATTATCCTCTTCAAAACTATTTAAAGCACACAATTCCTTCAGACTAATTATTACTTTACTATCCAGCCAAACAAGCTGCAAAACTTACAAGTGATTAGTGTTTTCATGTTGTAAAAAACCCACCCCAGAGAAGATCAAAGATCTGCTTCCACAGGCAGGGCGACCTGACATGCCTGACATGACTTTCTCTTTCTTCCTAGCTCCTCTCTTTCAAGGTCTGAAGACAGAATCTTCCCACTAGTTTAGTTTTTCAGCTTTTCTAGCATGTATTTTTATGACACATTTTCAGTTTGTGTGCAAACCTACCTGGCAGGATCTGTTAAGCTAATTCTATGTATTCAGCCTAAGTTTAGTGCTGATCACATCAGATATTAAAAATTTCTGAAGAGCAGGGTAACCATCCCTTGCTTTGGCAGCTGAACTTTCTTCTGACTAGTGCTTTTTTGGGCAAGGCTGAGGAATACCCATTTAAATGGTGTCTAAAAGTTTAATGCTAACTTATAACTCGTGCCCAAATCTTCCAGGAACTAGCACCAATACTTACTTTTACAAATTTACCATGGAGAAGATATGGAGACTGGAAGTCATGTTGGCAATTGGAATAAGCCATTCCTAACCCCATCCCTGACCCGAAGGCAATTGGCCATGTCTTTCCTGGGGGAAGGCAAGCAGAGAAAGAAAGAGGAAATTACCAGAAGTTCCATATTAGGCATTTTCAAGTTCTACAGGTCCTAAAATCAGCTAAAACCAGATCACTCCAGAAGAACAACTGGGGTAACAGTGAGGCATGATATTTAGCATTTAATGGAGTGCAATCTCTGAATTCAACATATTACTGAAAACTATTGTGTTAGCAAAGCATAACTAAAAAAGAATTTAGCTCAGTTTTAAAACCCTGGCAAGACTGGCATAAACTGATGTCTAGACAGATGGCTCCAGCCCTTTGGCTCAGGGTCTCCTGCAATTCCAGACCCTGAGCAGAGCAGGAGCTCAGAGAGATGCCACGTGTAACAGCAGCATTACACAGCAGTTAAAAGTTCAGACAGCTCCATTTAAATGGGAAAGATGAGATCAATAAGGAAAGAATTGGTTTAACATGCTGATGAGGTTTTACATGCCTCAAAAATGACTTGGTTTTAAACTGCACCTACACCAGACAGAAATTAGGAAAGCAGGAAGTTGAGATGATTGCAGTAGACTTACTTTTGAAGAAGATGACTGAGAAAACAATTCCTAATCCAAACCCAGCACCTGTAAGGAGAAATGCAGTGAGTGGGGACTAAGACAATGCAAAATGATTTTGGTTTTGGCTGTAATTCTTTGTTCCAACTCAGGGATGTCAGGCTACACCATACTTCAGCACACCAAACAAAAACATTCTCAAACAGCAGTTCTGAAACAGAGTTCTTGTTTCCTTAAGTGACTGTAAACAGCTCATCCAGATTAGAACCCCAGCATATACAAGCAACACTACCAGAAAGATCTGGGAAACAAACTCTCATCCCAGGGAAAGTTACTGAATTTCTGTCACCATCTACAATGTGGAATTAAGATTTATTTGGCTCATTGTCAGCAAATGAGAAACACTTAACTGAAAACTTATTGTGTCCCTGAGCTTTAGATTTTGCAGATGAATATCTTATTGTATTTCTTTTAATCTCACTATTTTAACTACTTCAATGTGTGTCCTGAGGGCAACAAAACTTTGATGCTTTGTGTTACCCTATACCTGGCAAAAAGCAAGCTCCAGGCTGCTTATCTTCCACATCCACAACCTTCATTGTGGAGCATATTTAAACACGTCAGGAATGAAGGACTTTTCACATCCTTATACTATATATAGAAATAACTGCAGAGGCTGAAAAAAATTCATCCAAGCACCATTAAAGAACTCAATTGGCACATTTAAAAATAATTTCTGCTTTCCTTGGAAGGTGTGCTTGTGATTTTTTGCAAGAAGACAGGCAAATCTGCACAACTCCTCTCCCTACCCAATAAATATGAGTGAAAGCTTTGAGCTCAGCAGGTAAATTCTACCTTTAATTACATCTACTACAGACAAGAATTCCAGAGAAGGCACAGAAGTACAAAAAGTTTAAAAAAGGAGAACAAAACTTAATCAGTCATGTGTATGCTCATTAAAAAAATAAATCAAATCTGTGTTTCAGGTTTATTTTGCAGCAAACACATCCCATTATGGGTTTCAATTCTCTCCTTTCCATACAAGAAATCTAACTTAAGTATAACGAGTTTTATTAATTAGAAGACAAAAAAAAAAATCCTAAAAGCAGGTGATGATGATTTAAACTCCCACTGAACACATTGCTAAGTGGGCTGAGTCCAGAACAATGGCAAAGAACCCTACACCCTCTTGGCAGACAGGAGTATGTTCCTTTATTTTAAGCTCCCTTCTGCTCTTTAAACCTTTCTCCTTGTAAAAAGGACACCAGTGGTAGCTTCTGCTGAGGCACAGACTACTGAAACAACACTTGCCATGCTACCTAGCAGATTAATTAAGCACTCATTGCTCCCAACACCTTGAATATTACAACAGGGATGGACAAGGAGATGATCTGAGCACACCCTGTGATGTTGACTCTCCTGCTGGGACTTCACTACCCATATTTACCAAGAGCTGGAAATCAGAGTTGCTTTTAAAACCCCTTTGCATTGTACTGCAGATTTTCAGCAGTGACACAGCTAACTACTTTACCAGGTCACTACAGTGTTGGAGTAGACTTACAAAACATGCCATGCAGGGAAGAACTCTGACTGCCTGCCAAGTGGTCCTGACATAACTCCCCCAGACGTTTCAGAGAAGGTCAGGTCTGCACTCTGATCATTTGCACAGCTAAGGGAAAGCTGCAGTTCCTCAGACGTCTGCTCAGAGCCTGGGGCTCTTTCTGCCTTTCAGACAGTAAGAGATACCCTACTTGGAGCATCTCCTACAAGCAGCTAACTGCTCAGTGTGTCACCAACCAGCACCTACACGTCGACTGGGAGAGACATCCCAGGTTACTGAGAGCAGCAGCTCACCCCTGCTCATTCCCCACTCCCCTCCCCAGGCAGAGCCTTCCTCCTGTACCTTTGCTAGAAGACAGCTGCTGTTGGCTCTCGCCGAGTGTTTATGCTATTAAGGATAATTACTATCTCCAAGAATTCATCCAGCAGACAACTGCTTGGCCCTGCGACCTAACTCCCTCTGCCAGCCTTTTCCCACCACACGTAGTCATGCTGCCTTTTCCTTTCAGGCTCCTGCACTGCAGGGCTGCAGAGGACTTTCTGCAGGTCACAGCTTTCCCTCCAGGCAGCCCCAGGCTGAACTGCCCAGTTCAGAAGGCTCAACTCTTCCTGTCCAAGGAAAGATCCTCTCTGCCAACCCAAACAGCTTAGCTAATCAATGAGAAATGATCTGCAGGATGACAAATCCTGCATCATCTCCATGCAAGAGCCCAGGCAGTTTCTAATGTCACCACATTTTCCATGTTACCAGTCAAACCCACAGTCTTCCTACCAGCGTGGTGGGAAACTCCTGACTTTCTTCAGAAAGCTCTGCACTAAGGAAGCAGCTATTGTCCATACTGCTCCTTTCCACCTGCTTCCAGAAACTGTCATTACCTTGTATTCTCTTCACCTCCTTCAGATGCTCTCTCACATTCCAACCCCATTTGTGAGGGCTCCACACAGATGCCATCAATGCTGCTTCCTGTTGGCCGTGGGGGAAGCTACAGGATGCATTTAAAGGTGAAAAATTTATGATTTCTGCTGACTACAATACAGCCTAAGCCCAAAACCAAACCTTGGTCTTCCCCCACGCCAATGCCCAACACCAGTGTTGAGCAGATGTGGTCCAGCATGACTGAGCTAGGAAAGACCACTCTGTCTTTATTCTTTATTCTGAAGCAGCAAATCAGAAGGGATTCTTCTTTTTCATGAAAATGCAGCTTTCATGCAACTGTAGAGGCTATCACTGCACCCTGTTCCAGCAGGAAGGGGAACAGTGGCTGATTAGTTTAAGAAGATGATGGTAAGATCCCTAGGGCCTTGCTTTAAGTAACAACAATGCTCCAGAGGAGGAGGAGATCAGAAAGCTAATGGGGTTTTGTTTTCTGTACAAGAAGGCAACTCGAGAAACAAAGCCAAAAAAGTACTTCAGCTTCCCTCATCCCCAAGGCAGTAGGTTCACTCCTGTTCCTACTAAGGAAGCAACCACAGTCTGTGCTGAAAACTGCTGCTGATGGCAGCACCCAAGCAACTAAGGACACAGATCTGGCCCCTCACATCATCCAGTGCTGATGCAGCATCTGCTCTCCACGATGTGCTGTTAACATCCAAGCCCTGGTTTTAACTCAAAGCCAGAAGCTTCAGCTCCATGGAATTTCTCAGCCCTGTCTGGTGAAGGATCTACTTCTGTGGATAGTTTGTCACTCCTCTTCACTCCCCTAGAAAGTGTTTGTGGTTCCGTGGTCATTTCCTGCACCTCCAGCACCGAGGGGCAGCGAAACCACCTTGTCTTGGGAGCAGAGAAACAGGCTTCACTTTAATTCTATATAAAGTTACACCAGGGATAAACAATGGCAAAGCCCTTGATGAGTTTTACAGGTTTAAGTTCTCACATGCTCCATTTCCTTTCAAAGAGGCAACGTGTTGCTTCAAAGAGCCTCCCACCTGACCGGGGGACGCTCGGCCTGCAGCTGTTTCTACTAAAGATCAGCACCTCTAGGCCAGGCTTGAACTTCATAACAATAAAACATGAAAGGTTTATCTTACAATAAAAACAAAGGAACATAGAAAAGCTAAAGGCTTGAGCCAGCCGGGCACATTTTCCCTCCTTTTCTTGCATGAAAGCTTCTTTGGAGGAGAAGGCCACAGGAAAGAGTACAACGCATTTTTCACCTCCTCTGACAGTTTAAAATGTTTTAACTAGGAAAACAGTCCCTGCCAGCCTACATCTGTCACTTCAGCTTACACTCATTTACAGTCCGTGTCAAGAGGGGACAGGACAGGGCTGTGGACACCTCACTCTGCTCCCCAGTAAGCATCCTGGCCGTATGGAATTGATATTAGGCAGAAAGCCCAAGCTCCCAAAACTCTTTTTATTCTTTTTTTTTTTCTTTGGCTCGCACACCTTCCAAGAAAAATGTGACAGTGCCTCCAATCAATCTAACACAGGGCAGAGCACGCGCCGTGTGCCCAACAGGACATCATAAAAGTGTCTTGGAGAGGAACACAAATCTCCAGGATGGGCTCCTGCCCCAGCAGAACATCTGGAAAAAGCTTTTTCCATAAATTTACTCAACAGCCCCTCCCACAGCGATACTGCACGGTTCTCGCCGAGGCTACCCAAGTAGCTACAGGCTGAAGCAGCTATTAAGACAGCCACACCTAGATATACTCTCCTTCAACAGCCTGACACTTAAAATAGAAGCATTAAAATATGCCTGTTGACATCTGGCAAACGTGTTGCTGTTACTATGGCAGCTGGAAGTTTTTAAATTACTTAATAGTTTTTCTTTTTGTCATCGGGTTATTTTCCTCTGCCCTTCCTTACACAAAATACTGAGATTCCTCCTCCTCTCCTTCAGGTTCTGTTCATTTACAGTTCTTGTTCTGACAGAACAGCAGCCACTCCATACACACAAGACTCTCTAAAATAGGTCAGGGACTTGTCTCAACAGAGATTTCTTCCCAGCTAGGAAGACAGCTTCCATTAAGATCAAGAAAATCTGCTGAGCCCCGTTAGCTTCCCTGGGTGCAGCAACAGCAGATCTGATACACTGCATGTTCCAAATGAGCAGCAGCTCAGTCGAGCATTAAAATTTGCTTTAGGTAAGGAAATGCCCAAGGGAAGTCAAGATCTTCACACCAAACAAAAACCACAATCAGCTCTTAGGGTATATTCTCTCCCTCCTGTTGTAGGGTGTCCCACCCTGCCCCCCTCCAACCCCACTTTCAGAAGGTACAGAGATACTTATGCAAAAACAGGGAGGAGATCCTTCCTCATACACCAGACCTTCAAAGGGCAGCCCTTAACACCAGTTAGAAACCCAAGACCACAAAATCACTTCTTTACAGAGAGAATTAATTTTAAGCAGACTCTTAGCAAGGTCTTTCGTGGCAGGAATCAGATTTTTTTTTTTCCCAGCACCAACTTTGAAGCTTTCATTCTCATCTCCCCCGTTGGGTGGATTGTTTACATAGCAGAGAGAAAAATGAGCAAGGGCTCTAGAAGAAAACATTGAAACTATATACCAAGTACTTGGGGAAGAAGCAGGAAAAAAAAGTGTGGTATGTTTTCTCCTAGCATTTGACTGCAGTCACACAGAACAGTTGGAATGACAGAATATAAATCTCCAACTAGCTTTAGGATACAAATATCCCAACATGCTTCCAGGGGCTGCCTTCACCCCGACGTGCTCCCAGAGGTGACCCTCAGATACACATCAGCACTTCAGACAAAATCAGTGTTGCAAGATACTCATAGCATGGAAAATACACCTCTGAGAGAAAACTCCACCTTGGCTTCCTTCAAGAAGAGAGTCTGCTAATGAAAATAGCATTGCTAAAAAGAAAAGAGTTTTGCTGGAGACCACACAAGCACATTTTGGGCTCTTGCAAGGCTGGCTGTGAGGGTTGGCACTCCTGCCTCCTCACACCCATGCCATGGAGGCTGACCATTACTGACGTCTACTGGCCCAGCTAGGAAATAGAGGCAATTCAGAGCAAGAAGCATTATGGTGGCACCTGACCAGCAGAAACGCTCAGGAACAAAGCCTGATCC